TTATTAGTTTCCTGATAGTATGCTGTCGATTATCTCCTTTGTTGTTTCATTTTGTTTGGTTGGCTGATTTTTTTTGTTTAGGGTAAGTTGTTTTGTTTTGTTAGGTTTCCCCCCAGTACTGGGGCTCAAACCCAGGGCCTTGAGTATGCAAGATAAGTACTCTACCACTGTGCCATATTCCCAGCCCTGAAAATCATTTTAATAAATAATGTAGTGAGGAAAAATATATTTAGATTACTTTTATGTCTAAATCTCTATGATACAAGAAATAATTTCTAGTTGCCATTGTGTGTATTATTTGTAGTAGTCCTGACTTCAGTCACATTAGATACATTGCAACTCTACATTCAAAATCTATCTTGATTTGACTACTCAGGTCCATCTTCACCATTATCACCATCCTGCTTAAGCCACCAATCACAGCCTTCTAATTGTCCCTTCTGTCTTTTCCTGTCAGGATTCATATGTATGTAATAAAAACCATTGTAGCTATTTTAAGCAAAAAAAAATTTTAATAAAGGTAGGCTCACTCAATAAGTATACATTTATTGTTTAATAAAAGGAAGTTAGGGAGGCTGATACATGACCGTGTCTGTGGATGTGTAGTACATGTTATATACATGACTACCTAATGAGGCTTTAAACCATTTTAATGAAAATCGCCTACATTTTAAACACTGGTTTCTTAATTTAAAATCTGAGATTAGATGTGATGTATAAAGCTATAAAGAAAACTAATAAACATCTGTTAAATCAGTTTAAACACTTTAGATAGCTGTTGATTTAATGCTGGTTTAGTACTTTTTAAATATGTACAGTGTATCAGGTTATTTTACAGCAGTATACAATTTTCTGCAGTGTTCCTTGAGACAGTGTTAATATTATAGCCTCTGTTGTCATGGAAACAAGTCTCTGAAGGCAGCCTCACAGGCTAATGATTCCATAGTGTTGCTATGGATAGAAACAACTGAGACTGTTGCTAGTCACATGATCAAGATCTTTTAAAAAAAACAAAACCTCTTTGGAGCTGATCTTATTGAGTAATACAGAACAGGACAAAGATGATAGCATAATTTAAGTCATTATTCTCTAATCAATTCAGAATTTTCCAGTTTAAATTGCTATTCTGAATTTCTTTTCTGCAATAATTCAAATATAATGGTTATTATATATTGCTGCCTTATTATTTATATTTTATATATATATATATTACTGTATTTGACATTTTCCAATTTAAAATCTTAGGCAGCTCCCTAGCGCTTTACCGTGCTCTTAATCTGTTATTCAAATTATTCTCTTATCTCTTAATTTTACTCTTAAGATCTAATATCTGTGCCATTTCTCACGTTTGATTGTTATGTGTTTAGCGATTTTTTGTTTCAAGTGAATTGTATGAATTATTTTGTTGTTCTGTAAGTCTTTGTTACCAAAATTGTTTATTGTTTGTGCCGTGGAAATTGTGTGTGTTGATACGTCATTTCTTTTTTAAGTATTTGCCTGCCTTAAGGAAGAGGCACAAGCCTATGTTCTTTTGCAAAGAGCTTATTGCCCTCTAAAGAGTAGGATAGGTTAAGATGGTGCAAGTTTTTAGGAATTTAAAGATAGTATTTAGTTCCTTATCTAAAGAAGATAGTTTCCAGAGGAAGCTCAGAGACAGAAGGAGACAGTGAGATTTAAATGTAAAATGAAAGGATTATAGTTAATCAAAAAGGGTTTTAGAGAACTGCCAAGGGAGAAAATTTTCTATGCTTGGCCTTAAAATTTGCATAAGCATGTAGTTTTTCCTTATTTTTATATAAAATATCTGTCAGCTAAGATCTTATACTATTAGCACTCGAGACCATTACTAAGAAAATGATATTTTGTGACATTTTCAAACATTTAAAAAATAAACTAATTATGGTGTTCTAACAAAAACAACAAAGAGACACAGGAAACTGTTTAGATTATATATATAGTCTGCCCCCAAAAAATGTATACACACTTCAGGAAAAGAAAAATTTGTGTAACTATTTTAACACTAAATTTATTGAGACATCATGAGATTAATACAAGTTACCTTTGGCCTCTACCATTACAAGAGGTGCTCAAAGTGTTGGCCATGAGCTTCCAGACATTTATTAGTATGGCGAACTGCTCCTTGGGTAACCTTTGGTCATCGAGATTGCTGCACATGCATTTTCAATTTCTTCTCTAAGGGTCGTCAGTGTAGTGGGTTTTCTGTGATATACAGCACCCTTGAGGGTCCCCTGTACGAGGGTAACACATCTGTTGAAAAAATATACTGTTTTTCTTTTCCTGGAGCATGTATACATTTTTTTTTTTGCTTGAATGAACTGTATCTGTGATAATTGCCGAATGATTTTCTGATTTTGTCATATCTTCTGTTTTTTTAGAATTCCATTGTAAGAAATGCTTTCTCTTCTCTCCATGTATTTCTTCATGGATATATTTATATCAGTGTGGACTCTTGGATCCCTATTTTATTTGTTGGTTATTAAGCCTCTGTTATAATTTTTTATTTTGAGTCTCAGATTGTTCCCAGTCTGAACAATGGCAGCCCTTCAAACCACTTCTACATCCTTTATGATACCCCTGTTTGACCACTTTCTTACTTTCTAGCATAGCAAGATTTCTGGGTTCATTGAACTTGCTGATCTCTAGCACTAAAGTAAGCTATTTTCTCGAAGAAATTCTGCTTTGGGGATGTGTACTGGGAATCAAACTCAGGACCTTGCGCTTGCCTCGGCTAAATCCCTGGCCTGGAATTCTGCTTCTTAAAAAATAGGTATTTAGAATCAAGGCCTAGGTGCTAGGTGTGTTCTTTCTTTAGAGGTAAGTTCCCAGTTCCTGTAGGTGGGCAGAGCTAGGGAGTGTGTATATGTGTGTGTTTGTGTTTGTGTGTGTGTGTGTACATGCATATTTACGTTTATTTTTATATCCCTATATATTAAAAACCATGTTTATATCAATACTTCAAATTCCAGTCTAACGCTGTATTATGCTAGTTTTCTCCCTTTTCATATTTATATCTCCCTTTTCTGAAATGAAGAACCTTGCTCCCTTTATCCTTTATATGTGTATTAGTTCAAAATCCTCCATATGTAAACATGTCCTATCACCATCACTGCTGTAAATGGCCACCTTCCTTACTCTGGTCAAGCACCAACGGATACCCTTTTATTCTACTGAGACCCTCAAACCTTGTATCAGGCTACTGCTTCTGCCACATAGATACCCTTCGTCTCATTTGGGTTTCAACCACACACATCAAGCTGCTGCCCCTGCTCTTCCTACATGGATACCTTCCCACCCTGTTCAAGCTCCAGCACTCTGTGCCAGGTTCCTGTCTTCCCTCCACTCTGCACACAGATATTCTCCTTACCCACCTTGGCCTTTTCTGTTCAGTAAGTTGTTGCCTACACCAATCATGACAGTATTTTACCATATTATTTCCTAGAAGCTTTATTTCTCTAATTTATACCAGCAAATCTTCTAGAATTGACTATGTATGGTTAAAGTAGGGATCATTGGTTCATTTGATATTATATCTAGTTAATCCAGCAATAATTCTTTCAAAAACATTCTTTTTCTTGTGGTTTAATTATAAATCAGTACAAAAAGGTCATTTCCAAGTAAATGTGTTAGTTTATTAATGTGAAACTCATAATATAGAATTCAGAATTTTTTCTATAGGAAAAGTATATAAATGGTGATTGAAGTTATGTTAAAATACACATAACATAAAATTTACCATTTTAAGTATTTTTAAGTATACAGTTCAGTGACATTAAATACATTCACAGTGTTATGCAAATACCACTATACATCTCCAGAATTATTTCATCATCCCAAAATGGGAACTGGTTAGGAAGAAAGAGATCTTATCACCATCTGCAGTACTAATCTTAACTTTAGTATTTTTTTTTTTAACTTTAGTATTTTTGCCTAGTTTTCCTTCTAAGAGTTTTCATGATTTTAGATCTTGTATTTAGGATGTTGTACCCATTTAAAGTTAATTTTTATATATGATATGAAATTGGGGGGTCCAGTTTCATTCTTTTATGTGATCATGCAATTTCAGCACCGTTGTTGAAAAGATTCCATACATTTTTTAAATAAATCTTGATTGACTGGTAGGCCAGATTAATCATTATAATTTTATTTTGCATTTATCTGTGAGGATAAGCATAGTTTCAAGTTCAAACTATTCCTGTTTTTAGTTGCTGTTGGTGCACTTACCTACTTGATTTTAGTGGGTGTTTTTTTACATACATATGCCATTTGTATAGCAAGTATTTATGAATTAATCCATCTTAGAGGAATTGCATCTTGTTATAAAACACTTTTCTGTACATCTTTTAAAATATAATTAAATCAGGGCAAATAGAGTTATTAAACATCAAAACTTATTTAAATTATATAGCTAGTGCTCTCTCTGCCTTTGCTTTTCAATTTTACTGAAATATATCTGGCACATAGTAAACAATCAGTGAATGTTGGTTGAATTAATGACTGTATAGGCAGTTTTAGGCAGATATTTAGTAAAAATTAATACAGAATATTTTATGTAATATAAATACAGTTTTGAGGAGCTTTGAATCTTTTATCTATAAATTTATAAACACATTGTTTGCATAGTGGGCAAATAAAATGACTTGGTTCTTTGAAAGCAGTCAAATACATTCCAATGCTAGAAAATTATTTTGCAATTTCTCAACAAAATAAGGGTCTTATGTCTAAGACTAGGATCATTATAAATGACATTTATTATTTTCATTTAGACTTTTAACAAACTCTTCTTACAATTATAGTCTTTATAATGGATCATATAATTATTTGTAAAAATTCTAGAGAATATTTTCTCATTTAAAGTAATATATTACCTATTTCTTGGTTATATCTGAAAATGAAATTTATCTTTATGGCACAACTTTCTGTTATGTGTTTCCTTTTTATTTTGGTACTTTTCCTGATTTTTTGTCATTGATGATTTTTAGCCAACAGAAGCTGTTCCTCCCTCTTCTCCCACTGTCCCTGTGATCCCTGTCCTGCCAGTCCCTGCTGAGAATACTGTCATCCTACCCACCATACCACAGGTTTTTATTAGTTTTTTTCTTTATAAAAATTTCATTTGCTCTTTATATTTTGTTTGCATTCTTTTAAAACTGTTAACTGTTTTTTGTTGGTTTAATGATTTACTTTGGCCTTCAGTTGGTTATTTTTAGGCAATGAAATGTTTGGGATTTAATATATATTAAAGGGGTTCAACAGTTGCCATTTTATTAGATGAAATGTAATGAAATAAGACACTGTATGAAGTAAGACACATCCTAAACTTATCTTCATAATATTTTACCTTGTTAGATTTGTTATCATGCCTTTTATACTGTTAATCTCTTTAAAACTTTTAAAAATATTTTTGCTTTTGAAAATTTGTGTAATTTCTAAAGAGAATGAAAATCATTGTACTGATCTTGTATTGGATTTACCATTTTATACAGCACCTTGTTTCCTGGTATGTATTCCTTTTCTTCGGAAATACTCATCTTTCTCTCATTTAGTTAGGTAACATACTTCACTTTTTCTTTTTTTTTTTTTTTTTTTTTTGGTATCAGGAGTCGAACTCCGGTCCTTGCACTTGTCAGGCAGACAGCAGAACCACTGAGCTAAATCCCTGCCTACTTTTTTTTTTTTTTTTGTACCAGGGATCAAACTCAGGACCTTGCACTTGCGAGGCAGGTGGCAGAACCACTGAGCTAAATCCCCAGCCCCATGGCCAGTTATTTTTAATGAATAAATGTGAAGTATGTTCCTGGGGATTTAGCTCAGTAGCACCGTACCTGCCTCACAAATGCAAGGTCCTGAGTTCGATCCCCGGTACCAAAAAAAAATTGCCCATGTGTTGCAGTAATGGCCAACCTTTTAGAGCCTTCAGTGATACCTATGGCATGCATGCCACAGCAAGCCATTTGTTATTGAAAACTCTGAAAGGTTTGTCATCACTGGTCTAGAGTATACGATAACTCCTTGTGCTATCTTCTTAACTTTCTGGAAATGAAACTACTTAAAATCATCTTTAAAAAGTTATATGTAACTTTTAATAAATGATAGCCAAATGTCAAAGAAGCTGATCAGTTTTCATTTTCAGAGCCTTACTAGTTCCAAGGAGTGGTGTATTGACATCAACTGCCCTCCCAGCAGTCATCCAAAGTCTAATTAATGGTAATATTAACTATAGCATTAATGATCTTTGTGAAATATACCAATCTCATTTGAAATATAAGCACCTTATAAATTTTGAATAATTTACTGTGGGATATTGTTTTACTTGTTCTCTTTCTGTTCATTATTGTTCTTAATCTCTTCTGTGGTTAATTTATGAATTAAATTTTAGCATGAGCATATACAGGAAAAACCAGTTTTTATAGGGTACAGTATTAGCCATGATTTCAGGCATCCACAGAATCTTGGAACATGCTCCTCATGAGTAAGGGGGAACCACTTTAAATCCAGAAACAAATGACATCCATAACTTAAAGGAAAAAAGGTTGAATTTGGCTCATAATTTCAAGGGATTCGGTCCATGGTAAGTCTGTCTCAAAGGCAGAAATATGCCAGAAGAGCATGGTGGACAAAAGCTGCTCAGTTTATGGCAGCTGGGAAAGAGAACAAGGGAGCATTGCCAGAGAGGAAAGGGCCAGGGATAATGTATACCATAGTACCCAAGGTCATGCCTCCATGATAATGGAGACATACCCAGAAGTGTGTGCTACTAATCCCCTAGGTTGCTCCTAAGTCAATCAAGTTGACAGTCCAGCTTAACTGTTGGCAATGAATAAAAACACTGTTGTCCTCTAAGACAAGTTAGATAATTCCAACATGGCATGAAAATAATTACATTAGAGGTATATGTCTAGCACAGAGCAGCCTCTTGCCTTGGACCTTCCAGAATTCACAAACTGAGTGTTGGTTCTTAAATTATTGGGTCACTAGTACTGTTTAACAGATAACTTGATATATTTTAAATTTATGGGTAATCTTAAAAATAGCATCCTTTGAATTATCTAGATGAGCTTTTTGTTTTTGTTTTTTTTTCGTTTTGGTACCAGGGATTGAACTCGGGACCTTGCGCTTGTGAGGCAGCCGGTGGCACCACTGAGCTAAATCCCTGGCCCGAGCCTTTTTAAACTATATACTAACACTTGACTGCAGTTCCTTCATACTATTTGCTTTGCTTTCTGGAGGTTTTGTTTGCTTATTTAGTTTTTATTCAAATAATTTCAGGCTGTATATAGTGGCAAAATAGTAAAAAGATGTCTCATACTTTTAAGCAGATCCCCAGTTGTTAATATTTTTTGTGAGTTTAGAAATGAAGGCTCATGTTCCTTTACTCTTAAAACTAGTATCATATAGGGCCGGGGATTTAGCTCAGTGGTTTCGCTGCCTGCTGCGCAAGCGCAAGGACCCGAGTTCGATTCCCTAGTCCAAAAAAAAAACTAGTATCATATAATACTACTTTTTTTTTTTTTTCCTCTCCTTTGGTACCAGGGATCAAACTTAGGACCTTGCACTTGTGAGGCAGTTGTGATGCCACTGAGCTAAATCCCCGGCCCAGAACTACTTTTTTAAGAACAAAAATATTACCACAGAACAGTGAACTAAATGGGAAAGTTAACATGACTATAATGCTTTTATCTGGTATATGGACCTCAATTATATTTAACAATTGTCCCATTGATGTTCTTATAGAAAAAAATGAAAACAAAAAACAGAACAGATCCTTTGGTTATTTTAATACTACATATTACATTTAATTTTCATGATACTGTAGTCTCCTTTAATCTGGAATAGTTCAGTAGTCTTTCATGAGTGTGGGGGAAAGAACAGATTACTTTTTAAGTAAAATAACTTTTCGTTCAGTTTGTGTTTGATGCATTTTCTTAAGAGTTCAAAGTCACATTTTATGAAATTTTATTATTGTGGCTAAAACCCATGTAACATAAAATGTAGTTGTATTAAATACATTACTATTGGGGCCCGGGGATTTAGCTCAGTGGTTTTGCCGCCTGCTGCGCAAGCACAAGGACCCAAGTTCGAACCCCAGTACCAAAAAAACCAAAAAAAAACAGTAGGTGCTCAATACATTACTATTGTTCCATAGCCATCACTGTCATCTATCACCAGAACTCTTACAAAACTGACGCTCTGCTCCCCATTAAACAGTAGTCCCCCGTTTCTCTCCCTCTGGCCCACAGCATCCACCATCTACTTTATGTCCTGATTTTGACTAGTCTAAGTACTTCATGTAAGTGGGATCATATAATAGTTGTCTTTTGAAGGGGGCTGAATTATTTCACTTAGCATTATGTTCTAAAGGTTCGAACATGTTGTAGAATATATGTCAATTTCAGTCTTCGAAGCTGAATAATTTCTATATTGAACATGCACAGTTTTCCATACATCCATTCCTTCATCAAAGACACTTGGATCTTGTCCACATTTTAGCTATTGTAAATAATGCTGCTATGAACATGAGTGTAAAAATCTGTCTTCAAGACACTACTTGTAGTTCTTTTGGGTTTGTACCTAGAGGTGGAAGTCCTTTATCATGTGGTAATACATGTCGTGTTGTGTTGTGTATATTATATTATGACTGAGAATTGGACCTAGAGGCTCTGCATATAGGCAGTAGTAGGGAAGTGCTCTAACACTGAACTACATCCCCAGCCCTGTTTTGTTTTGAGACAGGGTCTTGCTGAGTTGCCCTTGCTGTCCTTGAATTCGAAATCCTCCTGCCTCAGCTTCCTTAATAGTTGCAATTACAGATGTGAATCACTGCTCCTGGTTATTTTTAATTTTATTAAGAAATCACCATACTATTTTCTGCAGTATTTATACCATTTTATATTCCTACCAGCAGTGCACAAAGATTCTAATTTCTTCACATCCTCAACAACAGTTTTGCTTTCTTGGTATAACCAGCCCTATGGGTGAAATGAAAATTGTTTTTATTTCATTTCCCTAATGATTAGTAGTTTCAAACATATTTTCATGTGCTTATTTGCCATATATCCATATCTTCTTTCAAAAACTTAATACTATTTCTTTGTTCATTTTTTTTCATTGAGTTTTTTGTTGTTGAGTTTTAGGAGTTCTCTGTATATTCTGGATATCAGTCTTTTATCAGAGATGATTTGCAAATATTTTCTCCTATTCTGCGGATGTCCCTTTTATTCTATATAGTGTCTTTGATGCAGAAAATTTTTATGAAATCCAGTTTGTCTATTTTTTTCTTTTGTTGCCTATGCCTGTGTCATACTAAAGAAATCATTGCCAGATGTACTGTTTTAATGCTTTTACCCTGTTTTCTTCTAAGAATTTTATAGTTTGATATCTTGCATGTAGGTAGTATATCCATTTTAAGTAAATTTTGTCTATGATGTTTATTTCTGCTCTTGATTTTCTTCCATTGGTCCATATGTCTATCTTTGTGCCAGTACTGCACTGTGTTAATTACTGTACATGTGTAGTAAGTTTCGAAATCAGGACATCTGAGTCCTCCAGTTTAATTCTTTTCCAGGATTGTTTTGGCTAGGGTCTCATGTTATATCATCTGAATTCTAGGATATGCTTTTGTATTTTCTTTAAAACATCATTTGGATTATAATAGGAATAGTATTAAATGTTTCTATTGCTTTGGATAGCATTATGCAAATACTGTCTTCCAATCCATAAACATAGGTGTCTTTTCATTTATTTTTAATTTCTTTCTGAAATGTTTTATAATTTTCATTATCTAAGTCTTTTACCTCCTTGATTAATTCCAAGGTATTCTTTGTGGTGCTATTGCAAACAGAATGGCTGGTTTCCTTTTCGGATTTTCATCATTATTAGAAATCCAACCGATTTTTGTGTATTGATTTTGTATCCTGTGTAACTTTGCTGAATTTATTACTTTTTAAGTTTTTTGTGGATATTTTATTTTATTTTATTTATTTATTTTTTGGTACCCGGGATCGAACTCGGATCCTTGTGCTTGTGAAGCAGGCAGTGGAACCACTGAACTAATCCCCGGCACTTGAGGATATTTTAGACT